TCTCTATTTAACTATTTAAAGTCTCGATGTTGGACTCATGAAAAATAATCGTGTAGTTTGTATTCACCAAAACTGAACAGAATTGGCGTTAGCGCGAGCGATGCTTGCTGTGAAGCAGGAGCGACCAGCTGGCAGAAGATTCCGCAGCCTTCCTCGAACAGTTATGTTCACGATTTCTGATTTACTTAAAGGCAGAGTGAGTGATTTTTCAAAAACACTTTAAAAACTGATTCGGGCCGAATCGCAAAACAAACTTGTAGCCAATCAGCAATAAAGGGTGTGTCTACTCGTGATGTGGAGGAGAGCGCGTTCAGTGCATGGGACGGACATTAGCCGAGCCGAGCAACAGAGATAGAGATGGCGGATAAAAAACAAAAGAGGAAAACGTCTGCGGTACGATAAGGCAAGAAGTAGGACCCGTGTAAATATCGGATCAGCTTTCCAGCGCTGGAGAGAACTCAAGGAGCGGAGGCCTGCGATCGGACGCCGAGGTTGCTTTGGTTCTTCTCAATAGGTGAGTAACAGCGTCTACAACAGCTAAAGTCTGCCTACTCTGGGCGCGATCAAACAACCCTTGAAAACCATTTGAAATTTGTGTCAGCACGTCATAAATAGAACCCGGCAGCAGTTTTCTGTCGGGATTTGTTGCGCCGCGCCGCTCACGTCCGTAGACACGGTGTAACATTGGTTTTGCTTTGTTTCACAGAACTAATCGTTGCCTGGGTTGCGTACTTATATATGGGGCGGAGTTATCAAAATAGGGGCAAGACCCTTTTGGGGTAGGGGCGTGTTTGTTTTGGTGATTTCAAATATAACGTAGCAGTACCAGAAATCCCTCACTCTGCCTTTAACGTATACTGCGTGAGGGGGCTGGGATTGGATGATGACAGGTATCGGTGATCATTCTCTAGTGATCAGCACTGCTGCTGTTGTATCAGTCAGTGGTTAGATCAGCGTAGCAGTCAAAAAACGGGACAAGGGAATTCACGTACGGGACAAATCAATTAGGCCCAAAATACGGGACGTCCCGGCTAATACGGGACGGTTGGCAACCCTAGCCATACGCTACCATCCTTATATTGTGTCCGCCACGGTTTTTGTACTCCTGATTTGTAGGACAAACTGAATCACAAAGTGAAGTCTCAAAAACCTTCCTCACAGGCCACATGTCTCTCTTTTATCACCCATAGTCTGATTCAGTTTAAGATTTTTAGAGGCTTTTAACCAAGCCATTGACATGAATCAAAAGAGACACACTGTGACTAAATACGATATAAGACCGATGAGGGGACCCGAAAAACTGGCAGGCGGCACTCATCACTAGATGCCCTGAAAAAGTCCCCGTGACAGCCTCTTAACTTTTATGATTGTTTGGCAAAGTTGACTTCAAAGAGCCGATTCTTTGGCGCTGCTCACAGTGAGTGAGAAAGCCAGGATAGTGCGGGGAGGGGCAACAGGGGCTGATGGGAGTCGAGTGAAGGGAAGGGATGGAGGATGTTGGAGTGGAGAGCAGAGCCCTTTGATCTGTGTCAGCCGCGAAAAGTACAAAAGAATCAAAAGCAATGGGGAGAGCAGCACAGAAGATTGCAAACAAGGCCCGCTCGCAATTCCCCGCGGGAGCCTGCCGGGGAAAAACACGACGAGACAACAGCACATTTCAGAAATTCTGCAGGCTGTTTGGGAATTTCTCTCGGGCCTAATGCTGAAGCAATTAGCATTGAACCACCTCTCTGAACAGACAGGCTAGCTAAATCCACCATGCTAACATTGTTAGTGCATCATAATTAGTGGGGGTGACCCACTCAGGCCAAATTACACCATTCATTAAACTGACCAATCAGGAAGATCCATTTATCAATCAACGTGTAAGCTACTTTCTATTTGTAATTGGCTGTCCATTTGTAATCAGTGTTGGGGAAGCAACTTTGAAATTAAAGAAAGATTGGAAGGGACATTTCACATGCAACAACAAATAATAGGCCTAATAGGAACCGTCTAATCTACACGACCATTCAAAAGTTTGGAATCAGTTAGTTTTTTATATATATTTTTATAAGAAGTCTCTTATGCTCTCAAAGTTGCACTTATTTGATCAAAAGTACAGCAATATTGTGAAATAGTTTTACAATTTAAAATAACTGTTTATGGACATTGTTTTTGAACAGCATTTATTTGAAAAATAAATCTTGTGTATCACTATAAATTTCTTTATTGTAACTTTTGATCAGTGTAATGCATCCTTACTAAATAAAAATGTTAATTAAAAAAAATAAAAATCCTACTGACACCAAACATTTGAATGGTAATGAGTCAAAAAGACAGTGATAAATATCAGAATTTAACCATTAAATATACTGCTACAAAATGAAGATGCAAATGCTGCACAGGATTTATTAACTGTTTTTGCAACAGAAATGTTTGGATGAACCAATTCACTAATAAGAATTAGACTTCCTCAGGCTACATATTAATCAGTGAATTGCATTCCTTTTGAACTAAGTGAACTCATTTATATTAGAATTTGTATGGCTGTAGACTATCCATATGACAAAAAATAGCAATATAGCATTTTATCGTGCAACACTGCTACTTGTTGAGCAAAGTTGTTTCTTACATTACTGGAAAAGCAACAGTGTTTAGAAAACCGCTAAACTACCGTCACACTGCTGAAAGTGCAGTGAGTTACAGCCTAACACTGAATAGGAAGCACTTTGAAAGACTTTCGCCAAGATTTTGCTGTATGACATACACAAATCGTAAAAGTCCTGACTGAGCTGCTTAGTGTCATGCTCAGACATTTTATTTATTGCCTTTGCAATAAATATAAGCCTATTATGCCTGTTTAAAGAAGAACTGATCAACAAACAAGTCACTAAAAGTCACAACTTACTCCACAATCTCTTATTTCCTAACTTTTTTTTATCATTGCTTTAACTTGTATACCTTTTATGTCTGACATGATACACTAATTGACCTTGCTTTTTAATTAAGATCTCATATCGTAGAATATGACTAGCAAGAATCACAAAAACAAAAAAACCCAGCAAAAATGCACATTTACCAGCGAAATGTAGTCATTTCATTAGGAATCTGCGTGACCAGGAATTCTGTGTGTGGGTGGAAGTTTTCCACACGCAGATTTCACAACTAATTAGTCACTGCGTTAACCAATAAAAAGTTGCTCGGTGTGAAAGTGACTTCTGTGGGAGCTTCATACATTGATACAATATTGACAATGAACCTTTTTGGCCCAAAAAATTTCATAATGTGACCGGACCTTTGTCAGTTGTTCTAAAAACATTTGTTTTCATTCATGAAACATGATCAGAATAAATTTGTTCATAACTCCTTACAACAGTTTACTCAAAAATGTCTTAAACTGAAATTTCATGAATCAGTCCCAGCGTTTATTATTGTGTTATTGCAGAAGCTCACCTTGAAAGAGGGCGGCATTCTGAATGATGAGAACTTTCAGCTGGGCGCTGGTGGCCTGGAGACTGGACTCCATATTCTGTTTGGCAATGAGCAAGTAGCGCTCCTCCATTTTTCGAGAACAGCAGGTCAGGCCTTTCGGCTGGCACACCTGCAGATCTGAGCCTGAAGAAAAGGAAAGATTTGTTACAGCCAAAAAAACAAAAAACGAGTAAACAGACCGCGGCACTTAATAAATTCCATCTGAAAGTATGCTTGCTTTATGAGTCAAGCTTCAGAGAAAGCAGGAGAAAACCATTTGTTTTATCGAGCACATTGTTTACGTTACCTATTCGAATCTCAAACACAACAAAACGAATATCTGCTACTTAACTGAAACATGATATTTCATTTCTATGCATTGCATTTCTCCCAAACTGATTAGCCGAAAACTCATTAAAGGAAAACAAGATGCCGGCGCCAATGGCCTCATGGGCAGCGCGCCGACATGTAGCGTCTTTGTGCTTCAGGTGTCCTGAGTTCAAGTCCCAGCTTGTGGACCTTTCCAGATCCCACCCCCCCCCTCCCCCCCCCTCTCTCTCTCTCTCTCTCTCACTCTCTCAACCACTTCGCTTCCTGTCGACCTACTGTTCTATCTAAATAAAAGGTGTAAAACGCCAAAAATAAATCTTAAAAAAAACAAGATAATCAGTGAGAACATTTCAGTAAAGACGGACCCCAAGAGACTACCATGCAAAATTTGTCCATTTAAAGTCTTATGTAGTGCAACTCCCCATGTAGATTGGATGAAAGAGACACGGATAAACAGAAGAAGAAAATAAGTCAACATATTGACAGGAATGTTTTTTTCAGATGCATGAAGTGAATGAAGAGGTGACAGGTGATTTGTTGACACCCGTTATACTGGAACCGAGGTTTGAAGGTTATCTACCAAAGAGACATAATTGGATTTGCTGGGAGAGAAAAGCCTATTGAGAAATACGTTCTATTTTGTACCTAAGAAGGTTCAAACCCTTGTCACTGGGGCAGTACCTTTTAAGGGTACAGAATTGTACCTTAATATATAGGAACACATTTGTACCATTCCAATTTGTACCTTAAAGGACATGATTTGTACCATGGGGAACCAAAATGTACCTTTTCGTTTTTAAAACTTGTTGGTACAATATTGTACCTTTATCAAAGGTACAAATCTTGTCCTTTAAGTACCACCCCAGTGACAAGCCCATTTGTACCTTAACTGTGGCAAATATGTTCCTTCAAGAACTATTAAAGGCCATTTTCTTATTGAATAACATGCACATTAAACAACTGAAACCAAAAGATATTTTAATATCAGTAACTGCAAATACATATCAAATACACACAAGTGGTTGAACAGTAAAATATTTTTTCTTTGTGTAAATGCATCTTTCCAAATTATAATAAAGACTTAAAATAACAGAGTATCACTTTTAAAAAAAGCTGCAAAACATTTCACAATACAATTAAACTAAAATGTTACAGTACATAAAATACAATTACACTAAAATGTTACATTATGTAACAAAATTAGAAAACTTTTCCCCCACTTTTCACACAACATACCTGCATTTATTTAACATTTTCAAAAAACACCATCCTCCACCTCAACTGCTCGGCAAATTTCAGATCCCTCCATTTTTACAATTCTGAAGATTCTCTTCTCACTGAAGACTTGTGTCCAGTCAGACATTCCCAAAATCTGCACAGTGGGATATGGTGTGCGCTGGTTCTTCCTGAACTAAATGAAGAATCAGTATTAGAAAAGACACAAGTAAACTGATTGCATTTATATTCCCACTGACTAGTTACATTCTTCGCATGTAACACCTGTCTGATTGTGACAATTGTTCACTTTCTCCCTGAATATCACCAGATGTAAACCAGAGCAGCATAAAAAAAATCTAAAAAGACATTTAGCAACTATAAAGACATACATTATTCATTCCATACTTTCAAAACAAGCAAAGTCTAAAGATGAAACATGCATACCACAAAGATTCACTGCGAGATATTTTTGATGAAATCTGAGAGCTTTCTGTCCTTCCATAAGCAGCAATGCAACTTGCATATTCAAGGGAAAGTAGGAAAGACCTCATTAAAGTAATCCATGTGACTCCAGTGGTTTAACCTCAATTTTATGAAGTGATGCGAGTGCTACGTTTGCACAAAACAAAACAAAAACATAATTTACTATTTTATTTACAAAAACATTGATCTGCAATGCACTTTCACAAGAGCATCACAATGCATTCATGTTATTCACACAAGAGATGATGCTGTCACATGAATGCACTTTGGATAAATTATTTTGTAAATAGGTGGTAAATAGTGTTGCACAAACAAAGCACTCACATCGCTTCATAAAACTGAGGTTAATCCACAGAAATGAGTGACATGTATAACTCTGATGTCTTTCTTACAGTTCTGGACCTTGAATGTGTAAGTTGCGTTGCTACCAGTGGAGGGACAAAAAGCTTTTGGATTTCATCAAAAATATCTTCATGAAGACGAACTAAGGTCTTATGAGTGTGAAACAACATGAGGGTGAGTAATTAATGACAATTTTCATTTTTGGGTGAACTTACTAGGGCTGTGCGATTAATCGAAATTGCGATTTGAGACGTTGCAATTTTCTAATCGCAAAGCCTACGATGTGGACGCGATATTACTCTGTTCCAGAGCATATGCATGACTGCCAGCCTTGAGTTGCAGTCTTACTTGCCCTGGGAAAGAGTGAGCGCACCTCCGTTCTCCCCAATCAGCACTGCTCTAGCCAACTGCGTAAACACCCACCATTAAAAAAAAAAAACGGAAAGCGGGACGGGAGAGACAGAGTGGGATTATGGCGTCTACTGGGTCAGATCGATAGTTAGGCAAATTAAAACTAAAGAAAACCGTATGCAACTTAAGCTTCGAAATGACAGACAACGAACAAAAAAATTAATTTGCAAGAGCTGCGTCACAGCGCATATCAAAAGCTACCTTATCGGTTCTGTTTTCAGTACTGGAGAATAAAAGATACATTCTTAGATGTTTTTGTTAGTATGTGAACGTTATCTTACACATTTTATCTCCCCAACAGATTAATTTGAAATAAGTTTATAATGCATGTTGGCTATTCCCAATTCAGAAGAGCGCACACACAGCCTGTGTCTGTGAATGCTTCTCATACTCGCTCCTCTCTGCCCCACGCGGCGCGAATCCCGCGTCACGGACGAGCCGTTCATGCTTGCCACACTCACGCAGCCCGTCTCGTAATGCTCGTTTATACTCACACCCGGCTCCGCACCGCAAATCTCCATGAGCGCATCTGGCAGTATGGACGAGGCTTGACGCACGCACGCAACCTGTGTCGATTCGCGCCTGGCTCCGCGTTTAAAACGAATGTAAATTCAGTCTAACTGCTTGCTAATTTCACTTGGATGAAATGAAACATTCAGCACATTTTCCACTTGCTCTTAAAATCTCAAATACTTAAAATGAATAAATCAGCCTATGTAACATATGTAATACTTTAATAATTGACTTAAGAAATACAGTTCTTTATTTATAAAAAATAAACAAATATTTTCTGTGAAATT